ATTGAACAATTGTTACAAATAAATCACTCGACATTTCCGTTAGTATCCTGCAATACAGCAACAAAGTAGTAAACTGACGGAATAAAAATCGCAAAATACTCAACTTACACGATGTGATAAACGATTAACCTACACTTTCACCCTTCGCCAAGAAATTCAAACGAGAACAGAAGCATTCTCTTTTTTTAGAAAAACGAAACGACCGTCTTGGTCTTCGACCGTGCTTCGAAAACGACGTTGGCCACGGTTGTTGTTCGAGCCCTGAACAGCTCGCATGAAAATTTCAATCGACCAGAGAGCCGAATCGCTGCGGGGTGAATAAACCGGCGTGACGAAAGTAAAATACGAAACGGGAGGGAGAGAGACCGAAAGGGAAAGGACGAGGCCGTGAGAGTGAGATGGGAACGCGTTCGATCAAAAAGCGAACGGACCCGGCCGGTTGAACATTTTTCGAAATCGGCGCTACGTAATCATTGATAAGATCAAAAGCAAAAAGCGCGTATAAATTTGCCTTTCAAACTTTACCTTTCGCTCGCGTACTGTTTTATGCGTTTATGCGTTCTGCCGGGCTGCTCTTTTGTTCCTGCTGTTATTACTGCTGGTGAAAAACCCGACGGCACCGGCGATATTGTGCCGCGAAATCCGACTGCGATATGCCATCGTAACGTAAAAAAAGAAAAAAAAAAAGAAGAAGAAAGAAACAGAATTTCCGAAATGATTTAAGTACTTTAGATGTTCTCGCCGTTTCTTTTTGTTTTTTTTTTTTTTTTTTTTTTCTCGTAAATGATCGAACAGAATCTCGCTTGATTCTACTATTGAATTTCAAATTTTTTTACAAATTCTCGGTGCAAGTTGTTAAAAGGAACAACATATATTCCTTTTAATTTTCAATTAAATTTTGATTCTTTTAATTTCTACAACTGCACACGTATAATCTGCACTCAATGAATTTTATATCACATTCTTACACATTTTATAAGATATTTCAAATTAACGCGAGCGTTAAATTGATCAATTCACGTGTCTTTTCAAGCGCCAGAAGGAACTGCCGCGTTAAAATGACGTCAGCGTTCGTGCAAAAAGCGTTACCTTAAAGCGCCGTCCGAATATAAAGGGTTAAAGTCGAATTAATTGCAACGGAGAACGTGCACGGAGCCCCACATGCACGATGCCGCGGGTTTTGCGGGCACTCGTTCTGGAAACACGTTGTATGTTTTCGACATTACGACGAGTGGAAGTTTGCTCGGGAACGCGCGAATTGTCGAGCGTTCTTTGATTTTTGAAGCTGAAACGTCGGATCCGAGAGGGTGCGATCTTCTTTCTGGGTGCTCGGCTTTAATCGTTTGCGCGGAAGTGGTGACTCGGCCGGCTTTGAGCGTTCGGTGCTTCTACTTGAAACGGCGACGCGTTCGGTTCTGTCATCTTTCTTTCTCTTTTTTTTTTTTTCTAGGACAAGTCACGTTGAGACGATCGTTTTCGATTTCACTGTCGATCATCCGATTCTTCTTCGAATAAAATTTCTTTCTTCTTGCTCGACGTGCTCTTGCAGCGTATTCAGCATATTCAGTTTAATTTAGATCAATGGTCTATTAAAAATCAATTGAACTTGATTGTTGAAGGTTTAATGTTTAATCTTGTTGTCAGTGCATGAATACGTGGCAGTAATTCTGTGAATTGTAATGATTGTTTAGAAAAACAGTTTTTGATATTATTACAATATATATATATATATATATATATATATATATATATATATATATATATATATATATATATACAGAATAATTTTAATCTGGAACAAAACGCGAGTGAATTCATCTACCGCGGATATATGGTTTCGTTTCATCTCTTTCACTCTCGTTTTCTTTTCTTCTTTCACTCTATTTCACTCTCATTTCTTGTATTTTTCTTTTTTCTTTTTTAAACTTTGTAAGAATTTTTCTTTCTTCTCTTTTTTCTCAACTCCATTCCACCTTACAAACGAGAGACGCATTCACGACGAGTTATGCAAGAGTTATCTTCTCGATGTGTCAATTTTCCCTTTTTCTCAGAGTTTTCGTAAAAAGAATATTTTATCATATTTCATTTTCAACTGTGTATCATTACTATTAGAAATATGGGGAAATATACTATTAAATATCGAAATTCATGTATTAAATCTGTAATGAAGGAAACAGTGTTAATAAACGAATAAATAAATGACTGTTTGAAGTAAGAATCAAAATTCTTGACATTATGCGTTTATATATAATAAAATTCACATGTGTTTCACCATGTAACACAATATACTTCAATACAAAATTCGTTCGTCTGCATCGAGTCTTATTTACAGCTGCAATCAATGATTGTCATGGAAATGCTCAATCGAAAAACTCCAAGATATTCGATAAAAATCATTTTCTTTGTCTGGGTGGGACAAACTTGACGTAGTTTAAATTTTAATCACAGATCTCAACATCATCGTAGAACTCGCTTAATTGCATAGTGGATTTTAACATCTTTTTGGAGAATATTAATTCGAATTAAAATTTAGAAAAATTTTCCTGACTTCAAAATATCGACATTGATTGTTTGATAATTCTTCGTAATTCCCATTCTCTGTTTAATTCCTATTTTTTTTATTAAAACTAGAACTCTTCAGTGTTCAATGTGAATTTTTCCAGATACGATTAATATTCTTCTTTATTTAGAAATTGTTATTTTTCCAATAATAATTAAGAAACGAAAATGGAAACACTTGCGTTTGAGATTTGTCAGATGATTTGCTTCTCTCGATTTTGATATTCTTTCGGTCAGGGAAAAAGAGCGGATTTTTCTACTGAAAATTTTAACCCTCCAGCCACAAGTGACGTAAAAAAATCGCGTTGTACTTATTTTGTTAATTTCACTGGATACTAATATTGCGTTGGATTGAATTTTCAAAGTGAAATCTGAACAGCAAAGAAAATTCTTATTTCTCCGTCGAATAAATCTTTGTCTATTATATGTTACTAATGATATTATCATCAAATAATATTAATATTAAATAAGATATACTCTAACATATGATTATTGCTGATATATCTAATAATATACGAGAACATAAATATTTCTTTTCTTCTCTATTTGGATATTTTCTTTACATCGTATTAAAATTCTTTCTGCCTGCAATTTTTGATGCAGAAAAATTGCCCACAGTTGGAGGCAATCCTTCGAAAATTAGAAAACAAGTACGTTTACGTTTGACAAAATTTCCTCGCGATCATTTAACATTGTAATTAAAAGATTTTGAATTATATACAGCGCGAGTCTCTTGCGTAAATTGAAATACTTCAATTATCGAATTTTTTTATTTGTTCGTGATATTTTGAATAAAATTCTCGCGAAAATTCAATGTTCGAAAGGATACGTGGTGATTTGCAATTGCAATTTTCACGGAGTATCTTTTAAAATGATGCAATGGACGTTTCTTTTTTTTCTGGTATTTTGTTCTTTTGTTTCAGCCAACACGATGAATATTCCTCGAAAGAGAAGAACTTTAACCCATTAAGGACCAAAAATTGCAGTAACATTTTCATTTTGCAATTTTTCTTTCTGTTATCCTTTTCATTTATCTGTTTAAAATCACAATTTAATGAAGTTATATATCACATCATAAAATTCTTTCATTATATTTCTAATTTATGTAATGTAGAAATTTTACGCGTTCTAAGAAATTTTCAAAGAACATCAAAATTACTTTTAAAATCGTAGTGATAAATAAAATTGAATATGAAATTGAATGATTTATTTGTTATTACATGAAAATATTCCATTCCAAGTGTTTCACCCTTGATTTTGATAAAAATGACAAATTTACCAATATGCGGAGTGAAATTCTTTATATGTTACACGTCTGCTATGATTATTACCTTTTTAAATTCAAAAATAAATTTTCAGTCAATAAACAGATAGAATTATTTCTTCAAATAATTTTTCAATTTATTACTTTTACAATTATTTTCCCAACTTTGAATTTCATTGATCAAATAAAAACGTACATTATCAATTTATCATAATATCTCATTTACGATATTTCGATATAGTAATATGTTCTTTTTACCTTGATAAAAGAATAAATTACAATCATCCGGAGTAAAATTCATTTAGTTGAATAAATAAAAAAAACATACCACCGATTGAAGAAAAATTATTCATCACAATAATAATTGATTACTTTAAATATTTATTTACAAATCAATTATTTCAAGTGTATTCTCTTCAAGTATGATGTAATTTCATATTTCATATTATTATAGACATATTCTTTTTGTCTTGATGAACAGCAAATTATTTTTTTATTCGCATGTTCCTGCGATATTTGGCTTTTACGCAATTTTTATGCTTCATGTTCTTTTCACTATTTGGTCCTTAATGAGTGAAACGCTTTGTGTGTTCGTAGATGGATCGGATTATCGAGAACAGCAGTGATATCGAACCTCCTCGAAGATTCATCATTTAATCAAACGACTGGTTAAAGAAAAATCGGATCTAAGAAACATAAGAGAATTTTTACTGTTTTCTCTTCATTCATGGACAGATACATTGATCAACGATTTGAAAATGAACAGGTTGTTGTTTCTTCTTTTTCTCTTGTAGACACTTTCGACGTTTGACAGACTGATTATCCTTAGAAATAAAATTCTACTTATCGTTGTGCATTCATCGTTCCCAACACACTTGGATAAATTTCTCAGCGTCGTTCTTCGTCTATCATTCGAGCGAAGTCATTGAGAAATAACAACAAAAAGAAGAAAAAAAAAAAGAAAAAAGAAAAAAAAATAAAAGTGAAAGTCCCATTTCACAAAATAGTAAAAAGTTCTTCGGTGATACTTGGAGAATAATTGTCATTATCGTGGAAAAATTTCACTAATCATTTTTCTTTCTCTCTTTAAACAAAATTCTCGTAACAAATGAATACATCGATTAGAAAAGAAACGAACGAAAAAGTGTTATATACATATATATATTTTTCTTCTCTCTCTTTTATCCCTGAAGTGATCACTGTTGCCCTCTTTACTGGATCGTTCGTCGAACCTTCCTTCACTTTCTTTCATTTCTTTTTTCTTTTTTTCCCTTGCATTTTTCTCTTTTTTCTTAAAGAACAATAAATCCGCATTCGTTTCGCCGTGTATCTAAGTGCGAAAATCCACGTGTGCTGCGTGTACTACTGGTAAGTAATAATCAAAGATAATCGCTATTTGTAATTAAAAAGCTGCTTTCTCGTTTAGCGCTGCGCCGCTCTGCACCTCTCGTTACGAAGTAACTACGAGTCGTTTAATCGTTTACATCGAATGTATCGGTATCATTTACAGCCTAAAATACTGAGCAAAGAACGAATAAATCTGTTGATCGACGATCCCCAACTCGAACCTCCCCCTCTATACACTCTAGAAATTCATCCCTCTCGCCGCACATTCTTTCTTCCACATTCATCCCTCGCAACTTTTTTAATATACCTATTACGCAAGCGTACGCTTCCTCTCTCGAGAATTTCGACTTTCAAGTTATTATCAATAATTCAATTTATCAATAACGGTGTCGCCGTTCCCTTCTTTTATCACCGACACGATTTCAAATATTGCTTCGAGTCAAATCCAACAAGATTTAATTAACATTAATAACTCACTCGAGGTACGATATGTAATTTCGATCGTCCGTTTATCTCCTTCTCTCTCTCTCTCTCTCTCTCTCTTTTAATTAATTTACTTATCTATCACCGCGTTCGTCAGATCGTTAAATGGCTCGAGATCAATTTCCAACTTTTTATTGTCAACGACCGCAACATCATATCGGCAACATCTAACATCGACGAACGTTTGGAAAACGATTTCGCGGGGGATGATCGGGGAGGATCGTCGTCGATCGCCGCTTTTTCACCTTTGTCGCTGTCGGTGATAAGTCGCCGGAGGACGGGAGAGGAGGAAGGGAGAAGAGGGTGGAGTGAAACAAAGTAAACTCGGGAGGTCGAGAACGAAAAGAGAGGAAGAGAAACCAACGGTACGCTTAGGAGCATTGATTAATTCGAGATATCTTGTAAAAAATTTTCTTTACAACGTGTGCACGCATACACACATACACACACACGCACGCACGCACGCACGCACGCTTCGCCGCTTCAGTGTGTATATACGCACACACGCGCGTGTATGTATAACATGTATATATATGTATATATATATATATACCGTTTATTGCGCAGGCATATTGAATTGTTACTTCATCCTCGTGAGAGACTTCTCTTTAACTTTTCTTTTCCTTTTTGTGTCATTTTTTCCATTCTTAGTCGTCCCACCGTATTTTCAACATCCGGTTGTTGTACATCATCTTTTCTTTTCTTTGCTTTTTTTTTTCTCCTCGCCTCCTCCCCTCATCGCGCTCGCATCTTCGTCCCTACGTTTATGGCAATAATAATATTAATAATATAATTTTAATGTAATAATAATATAACAATGTAATAATAATAACCGTAATAATAATCATAATAATAATAATAATAGTAAGAATATTAGTAATTATCTAAAATTCTTTTCGTAAGAATTTTTCTCTCTCTTTTTCTCTCTCTCTTGCCACGCGTGTACTCGCAGATATCCCCTTTCTCCCTCGATTTTTAAATCGTTCCGTATTTATACGAAATAATAATCGTTTGGTATTTATATATTAATTGCTCTTTCTTTCTTTCTTTTTTTTTAAATTTTTTTCTTTTTTTCTTTTTTGGTTGTCTGTATAAAGGACATTGCAGTTTTTACTTCATAGGTGGCACTCAGAATTGTAACTTTATTTTAATTTTATAATTATTTTGTAGTTTGTTCTTATTATTCTCGCAATATCTAATTGTTCGTGGATCGTTCCTGCCTGTAATTCGTATCAGACAATGCTCCTGCTCTTCGCTACACAATATCTCTCGAAAGTCGCAGTACACTCTTTTTTTTCCTCCCTTTTCTTTATATCGATACTCTTTACAACCTTCTCTCTCTCTCTCTCTCTCTCTCTCTCTCTCTCTCTGTCTCTCATTTGTAATCTTACTTAATCGCTTGTAAGCAATAAAAAAAGAACGTGCTCACTTTCAGTCGATATTTCAACCTTTTAATTTCGTACTTACATTAGCTACGTGATTTTGCACTGTGACACGGAAAAAATTGGAGAAACTTTCTGTATCTCTCTCTCCCTCTTTCTCTTTCTCCATCTTTCTCTCCACGAGCCACATATCTCTTTAATCATTATTTCTCCGTTCTCATTTCTATGAACACCGATCTCCCGCCTTTACTATCTTGTACTTTCATTTTACTTTTTCTTTTTTTCTTTTTTATTTCATTCTTCTTTAATTCCCCTCGTTCTTCTTATTGTTAATTTTTATTATCGTGTAACGAAAGAAATCTCTTTCTCTCTCTCTCTCTCTCTCGCTCTCTCTCTCTCTCCACGTGCGAGAAACGAAAACATCATCGCCTCCGGTGGGGAATATAATACATTGATCGTGTGTGTATTCGTGTACGTGTGTAGATGCGCGTGTGTACATCGGTTTAATTCGATTAAAAAATTACTCGAAGGGAATACAGCGTCAATACGGGGTAGAAATCGTCGAAGGCAAGTCCACGTCGGATTAAAATTATGTGTCGACACCACGGTGTCGCCTATGTTAACATGTGTGCCTGTGTCTGTGTATTTGTACACTCTCGTCCATAAGTTGCTCGTTTTAAACGAAACGATTATTCGAATATCGATTCATTTCTTCAATGGACGTTTAATTTTACTATACTCGTCTAGTTTACAGCAATTTTAACGTGAAATTAATAGTGTAGGTATACTTCAATCACTTGGACTCCGGTTTAGCTTATTTTATTATCAACTGCAAGACCTTTGACGACTAAATTAAAAAAATGCTTGCTATATCAGATGAAAAAAGTCTACGGATACATTAATGAATAATTGTATTGATATATTAATATTTCAAATTATTTTAATTTCACCTCTAATAATTCGCAATTTTGTTTTCTTCTTGGTTGTCTCTTCATTCTATCTCTTTACTACAAATGATTTCAATATAATCCATTGCAGTTTCTGCTAAATTGTTTTTGTACATAAAATCGTTACTCTCATTGTCAAAAGATTCAGAATTTCCAGAATGTTTTTCTCTTTCCAATGACAAAGAATTTTCTGATCTCAGTTGTGGAGTTCAAAGAGTTAAATGAATGATGTCATAATTTATAATGTCGAAGAGAGACTTTACAAATGCATTCAGAAGAAACATCGTCAAAATAATATAATAATTCAAGAGACGAATATATTAATGGAAATAAAACATTATTTCGACAAAATAACTTTGACATTGATAAAAACATTTGACATGTATATCTTTGCATTACACATTATAAGAATGAAATACATGTCAATTTTATTAACGCAGACAAAATCTCAATCTTCGTTATGTGCTCAATCACTTATGAACGGGAGTGTACGTGTATAACTTTCTGAAACGCTACTCGTGCTTTCTGTTCTCACCCTTTTCTCTCGTATTTTCATCCTTTCGAAACTTAAAGCCCCTTGTATCACGTCGATATTGCTGTCACGCCTGCTGATCGATTTTCCATCGAGAATTCTACTCGAGAACTGACCGACAACGTTGCAATAACTTGGACTAATACAAGTTGAAGAAAATATTTTAAGGGAATGGGAGAGAGGTCTCATCTTCCGAGAATCGTGCGACGATAAATTGGTGTTGTTAGGATAAGATGCTCAATTTGAATTTATCCCGTTCTATTTAGTGTCCCATATTTTATACGATAAACCATAGGATGTTAAATAGAACTATACAGTCGAAACTTAAGGACACTCAGAATTAATTTTAAATTAAAATGAGTCATATTCGCAGCTCTACGATGTCATTTGAGAATTAAGAATGAAATTATTCACGTTGTGTATACGAAATAGTAGATATTTCGGCGTGACCAGAGAACAATGTTCTCTTTCTTTCTTTAAGAGACGTTCAAAATTGTTTTTGCCGAATATATAAATAAATGAAATAAAATACTAAATTCAGTAATCATTTTTAACAATGTCTCGCGATTAATAACGCGGAATATGGGAAAATGTTTGAAAAGAAAGTGACAATTATATTAGACGAAGATTCTACTACGCTATACTATGCTTCATTTCGTATTTCTCAAATCGTTTCCGATTGATTCTATCGTGTAAATCTTTACCTCCTGCTGGGATCATTCGTCGTTTCGACTTCAATGAATTAACTCAAACAAAAGATAGTTTGCAAATTTGTTTATTTGACGTCAAGATAAAGTTATATCTCGAACAAGAAACACCCGTCAATACGATCTCGAGTGTCTTTGTCTCAGATGAAATTGAAAATTTACCCGGTGTCGCCGATGTCACAAAAATAACCGACACTCGTCGCGTCCGAAGGACTCAATCAAACGGATTTCGTCGATATTCACGCCAGGCTATGCTCTAACCATAAACCGAATCTTCAAGAGAGAATCGATCAGCGAACGCGTGTTCTATCCTGGCGCCACGTTTCTCTCTAGATCCTCCAATAGGGAACGGAAGGAATCCACAGCCATCCGAAAATGAATCGTTAGAATCGTGTCGTCGATTCCTCTGGCGACGCGGTCGCGTCTCAGTCGCAAGCGAGCTGCAATTTACTTCGTAAAGGAAGGGGGGAACCATGGCCTTAACTACCGTGATCCTGATCGAGTTCGTCCAACGACTCTAGTCTAGCGATCGGCGCCTCGTTTATCGTGTACTCCCAGGAGATGTCCTCGCTGGTTTGCCTCGAGGACTCTTGCCGCTTGTCGAGTACTCCGGCGCTTTCCTCTCGAGTTGGTTGCCTACTCTCCGAACGTTGGCTGGCTGCCAGATCGGCAGAGCCACGATGATTCGTCGGCTCCTTTCGCGACTCGCTGCTACGAGGACGTTGCGAGCTTCCTCGATCCGATACGGATACCACGCAGCTCCATGGATCGTCACCTTCCGGTTCCGGGCGCTTGTTGAACGAACTGTACCTGCGGATTCAGTACGAACGAATGACAACAGTACAAGATGATAAAAATCATTAATCCAATAGGATTAATGTGCATAATTTTTTAAAAATATCTTGCATTCATAGAGAAATTCTCACATCGTTCAACATGATTGTAAGTACTTTAAGAATTGTTATTATAAATGCACTCAGTTATAAGTATACTCAGTTACCTATATATAACAAATATATTTCAATACATGTCGCAAGAATTACATTAAAATAGTTGTATTAAACTTAGTTAGTACTGTATACATTAGTTACACTAATACATTAGTTTAATAAAACTATTACAGTACTAATAGTACTGTAATAGTTGTATTAAACTAATGTATTAAGGAAATACTTATATTAAAGATCTGTAGCAACTGGAATGCTGAATTTATATCAATAAGTTAAAGTATCATCATTTAAATGTATATTTCTATTGAAAAACTGATTTCCAACTATAAAATATATTTTTTTCTCAATGATAGAGGATATATGATTTACGGTAAAGTGAAATTTCAAAGTTTTCGAAATTCTGATTGCAAGTATACTTACCTATACTTACCCAGTATCCATGAATTATCCACAAGTGTTAGAAATGATTTCATAATAATTCACTTAGAACTAACTTAACATACAAATACTTACCCATACTTACTCAGTATGAACTGTCCACACGTGTTGTAGATGATTTCATTCTATAATAGATCACTTAATAAACTAGCAATTGAAATATATATATATGTATCAGAAACTTTAAAATTTCGTGCACTTTTCTCGCGTGCTCATCGACCAAATTTTAAAAGTTTGGAAAAAATTATCAACTGTTCTGGATCACCGACGACTGAAATATATATATATTAACCCTGAACGGTATGGAGGGGCTCATTACCAATTAAACTTCTATCGTGTGCACATCGACCAAAATTTAGGAGTGAGTTTTAAACAATATTTCTGAATATTCTAATTGTTTAAATATTATCTAATATTTCTAATAATTTATTTGTAACAATTAAACAATAAATTCTCTTTAATAACATTTCCAATTATTTAAAATTTTCAACTGATCACTTGTAGCGATCGAGTCACTAATACATTTCTACGAAATTTAAATAAACTGTTTCCCGTCGATCGATTAACGCGGTTAGGTATATATTTCGATCGAAACGGAAATAAGAGCTCAGTAGAAATCGAACTTTCGCTGCGTACGCATCGACGCAAATTTTGAAAGTAAATTTTCACATAATATTTCTGAATATTCCAATTGTTTAAACATTATCTAATATTTCTAATAATTTATTTGTAACTAACTAATTTATTTGTAATTAAATAATAAATATTCTTCTATAACATTCTATAATGTACTCTAAACATTATCTAATATTTCCAATAATTTATTTGTAACAATTAAACAATAAATTTTCTTTTATAACATTTCTAAGTTCTATTTAAAATTTTTAATTAATCATTTGTAGTCACATTTCTATGAAATTTTCTTTATCTGTATCGCATCCGAATTAACGCATTAACAACCGAAAGATCAGATTGATGCCCACCGATACGGAGACGAGAGCTCATTATGAATTGCATTTTTGTCGTGTGCACATTGTTCAAATTTAGAAATCTGAAAAAAAATTATCAATTGTTATCAATCACTGACGACTGAAACATATGATTACCTTGAGTGCTAATGACGCTCATTATCAATCAAACGTTCGTCGTGACCACATCGACCAATTAGCAGAAAAATTTTAAATAACATGTCTGCAACCAAACCTTAATACAATTCTGACTTCAACGATCGGTAAGTTGCATGGTTTCGTTACTTTGGTGTTGGGTTAATACTTGATCGTGATTATTTGAACCTGAATACGAATTCAATTTTCATGACTTGTATCGTAATCGTACAAGATATACTTTATTAGTTACCATACTTTAACAATTACCGTGATGCACATTATATTTCTGCATACACATAGATAATATTAGTCTAACAATAATAATGCTATTTAAGTATTATTAGATACTTTCAGAATTTCTCTTTGAATCCATAATTTGGAAAATAATTTAGTAATTCTCTATTAAATATTAAAACAAGAATATTTCAACAATATCTTAAATGAATACCATTTCTCTTTCTAACAAATTATTTAAATTCAATACAAATTGAGTCCTGCATGAGAAATATATGAAAGAGTACTGATTTAAAATATATTACAATGAGACCCGCGCGTAGACACCTCCACGTGGTGGATCTTGGTAATTCATATCGTTTCACAAACATTAAAGTTTGTAAAACATTATCAATCTGAGTTGTAAAACAGTAAATGATCAACTTTAATGTTTGTGAAACGATATGAAGCTAAGAACTACGCAACCTACAGTTCGGTTTAGATCCTGAAAATTTCTGTGCATTCTTTAGTTCACTATCTAAACTGAACTGTAGGTACAATTAGTTGATAAATAAACTATTCGACGAAACAGTCTACAACACATGTGGACAGCTCATACTGGGTAAGTATAGGTAAGTAATTGTTCAGTAGTTGTAAGTGAATTATAATGAAATCATTTCTAATATTTGTGAATAATTCACGGATACGGGGTAAGTACAGGTAAGTATTTGTATGTTAACATAATTGTAAGTGAATTTACTGAATTTTTGTATCAGGAGAATATAAGATTCGAGGAGCTGGCATACCAGACTCGTAGAGAGAACTGTGCTCCTGATATTTCAAATATTCATAAAATTTATAAGCGCGAATATTCTGCAAGCAGGTAGGTTTCACTTGATGAAATTTCAGAATTTGTATCAGGAGAACATAAGATTCGAGAAGGTGGCACGACAGACACGTAGTGAGACATGTATTCCTGATACATCGAATATTCAAAAAATTTTCATGCGCGAATATTCTGTAACCAGGCAGGTTTCACTTGATGAAATTTGAGAATTTGTATCAGGAGAACATAAGATTCGAAGAGGTGGCACGCCAGACGCGTAGTGAGAACGGTGCTCCTGATACTTCAAATATTCATA